CGCTGCCGCCCTATATCATTAAAATACAAGAGAACTCAATTGCAAAATTAATGAAGTAATTCTTTTTCAGGCAATTTTGACCAGAATTTTAAAGTTATAAGATTAACTTCATCTTTGGTTAGTATCCAACATTCTCTGTCTATTCTTGGCTCCAATTATTTCATAAAGGAATATCTATTTATATGCCATTTTAATCATAATCTTACATTATTTTTTCACAGAAACACCATTTATATAATTGATGAGAGATCTATTGTATTTGAGTATTAAGAATTAATAGAAAATGCAGGATTTTTGAAAATGAATTATTTTTGATTTTTATTTTGTTATAACTAACATATTCCATAAGATATTGCCCCCTAATAATCACCCTAAAAAGTTAATTGATACACCATTCTCTTCATGATTCTCAGTCATAAAATTAACCTTATGGAGTATTTTTCTTCTTTTCAAAGTTTGATTGAACTTCACTGCCATCCTTACAAGATATATGTAATCAACTTGCTGCTTAGCTTTTCACAACAATCGCAACTTCATCAACCTTTCTAAAGTATTTAGATTAATCTCAAATATCTCAATTTCTCTTCTGCACATATTTTGTAGATTAACACTCAAATTTTCAAGTCCAATTCTTCGATTGATATTAAACTACTAACAACTCAAAGCAAATCTTAATACAATTTATTCTTTAACTTCGCCTTACTTTAATAGTTTATTTCATTGACCAATAGGTTTATATACATTGAAAGCTAATTTAATTCTTCCTCTCCTATATAGGCCTTTATCAATTTATATTAACATTTGAGTATCAATCGTACAAACCTGTTTGATCTAATCAATTTATGATTTCCCTAAATTTAATGTCATGTAACATGATTTGAATTTTTCTCCATCCAAAACTACATAAATCAGTCTCACTGAGTTTATATGAAGGAAGTCATGCTTTCTTCCTATCCTCAAATTGGCAATTATTAACATCATCTTAATTTGCTCTCTAAGGGCTCATCGATGGTATGGTTATTAAGGAAGTTTAACCGATCAGGATAAATAAAGAATATGAATCTAAAAGAATTAAAGTTAGTATAGTTGAAGTATAACGCTTAAGATTGGTGTTGAAATTTCAAGCACCTAGAATTACTAAATAAAAACTATCATAAATTTATTGAACATAGTAGTTAAATTAAGAAAGCAAATAATTAGGGATGGATGATTAAATTATGGAAGAAGATGACCACAATCATATTATCAACTAGAACATTTGCATTGAGATAATAAGCGAAAAGAGACATTGGAGAAATATGACTCAGCTACAAGCATTTCAATTGTACTGAAATTAAGGAATAAAGAAAATAGAATAAAACAAAATATCTATAAAAGTACAAAAATGCTCTTTTCCAATTAATTTATTTTTTCACAATAGTCATCATGGAGAACAGTATGGGGAGAATCATTAATGTAATTGACCTTTACGATAAGACTCAGACTCAGATTTATCTAAAGACATATAATGATACTAATTTTCTAAATTAATAATTTTACTTTATTTATAGTTTAGAGTACTGGCTGATTGATTTGTGTAGAAGTTTGAGTCTATAAAATAATGTAGATGTTTTATCTATCTTTATTATATAAATCAAAATAAAATAATGTATTTAATTAAAAAAAATAAAACTATTATTAATTAAAGATGGATTCTTAGCACTCTAATAAGAAAATTTGCTTTGAAGAAACTTTGGATAAGATGGAAGCTCAAAATATAACTGTTGACAAGTGGGGTAGATGTAAATAAGAATTTGTGAAGACTACAATTCAAATCAAGTATACAAAAGAACAATATATCATTTATTCATAAGATGGAGTAATTCTAAGAATGTAGTATTCTATGATAATTTAAATTAGGGATCAAATAAGAGGGGGTTGTAAAAGTTCAGATATATTGAGTAATGTGGATTAGATTTAATATCTTTTTTTTTAAGGTTAATATGAGTAAAATGAAAGAAAATCTGGTAGATGGAGGGCCACTTGGGATGGAGAAGTTATTGAAAATGTTGGAGGGTACTATGAGAATGGATTAAAATAAGGATTCTGGAAGGAATTGAATAAAAATTATTGCAGATAACAAAGATTAGAATTCCAAAAATGTCCAGCTGAAATTTTTGAAAATGGAGAATACTCTAATGATTAAAAAATTGGTTTATGGAAATTTTTTTATGATGATAAATAGATGTAATATTTTTGATATTATATTTAGTGGAGGAGGCTTCTATGATGGGTAAGCTTAAAAGACTGGTAAATGGATTGAGGTAAATAATGGATTCAATAAAAGTTCATAAGTCACTTATCATGGTGAATATAAGAAAGGTAATAAAGTTGGAATTTGGGATATTTTCTATGTTGATATTTATAATACATCGAAATAAATGTAAAAAATTCTTATTAATTTTAAGTGGCGGCGGATTATATGATGTAAATGGGAATAACACTAAGAATGGTAAGTGGATTGAGTTGAGCGAATGGGTTGATATCAAATCATGTATTACTCTGAATGGTTAATATAAAACTGGAAGAAAAATAGGTAGGTGGGATATCTTAATTTACAAATATCAATAGCACGACAATCCAGAAATAAGAAAAATGTAACTTTAAATTAATAGCATTTAGAGGTGGTGGATTATATGATGATAAAGGTGAAGGCAATAAAATAGGAAGATGGATTGAAATAAAAGATAAATATGATGATATTTCATAAATCATCTTTACTGGTGAATATGATAATGGTATAAAAAATGGTAATTGGGATATTCTATTTTCAGAAAGGGCTTCTAAAATTATGAAAAGATGTAAAATTATCAAAAAAATCCTTAGAGGAGGAGGATCTTATAAGAATGAATAGGGTAAGCCAATTAAAATCAAAAATTGGGTTGAATCGAGTGATAATTATAAAGCCAATTCAAAAGTTGTTTACACTGGTGAATATAAGAATGGCTAAAAAGTTGGTAGATGGGAAACTTAGATCAAAGATTTGTTCTCAAAAAACAATTAATAGATGTATAGATTTCATCATCTCACTATAGTTTCT